TAATACTATTCATACTAATATTACAAATGTGAATGTTTAGATAGATAGATGGATAGGACATAGGCTTTTTACACTCTTTTATTTATTTCGATTCCACGCGGACGGAGTCACGGTCGAAAACTAGTACATTATAATCAAAGCATTACCCTTTAATATCACGCATAATTTGGTTAGAAGTTATCATTACACTATACTAATTTGACGAGTAATAATATTACAAGTATCAAGTTATGTTGATATACGGAGATACCTCGGTTGACCTAAATTACTGGTCTCTCGGTCTAGGGCTCTTATATCTTCATCGTTCGCCTTCGTGTTGTCTAAATTTAATAATTTCATATTAACACTTGCTAATATTCATTAATTGCCAATTTAGGTTGACTTACATTCCTAAGAGCTTTCAATACATTAATTTTAGCTAATATATTTTAATTAGATTCTACCTATCTGTTTTAAAAATTCACTTAAATATACAACTTTCTCTTGCGATCCGTTTGCATAGAATTAAAAAAATGATCCATGTGTTCTTTCAGACTATGCTCTACATCTATGCCAAATTTCATCGAGATCCGTACAACCGTTTAGGCGTCAAACTCTAACAAACATCCATCTAAACTTTCGCATTTATAATATTAGTAAGATAAAATTATATTTTGAAGTTGCTATAGACTTTTTCTACGTTAAGTAAGGTTTTTTTTTATAACATAAGGTGGCAAACGAACAAGCGGTCATCTGAATCCGCCGAAATGGCGAAGCGGCCGCTGCCCATAGACATCCGCAATTGCAGATGCGTTACCTACCCTGAATTTACAGAAGAGTAGACGCACATAAACAAAATATTTCCCCTTTACGTTAGTCGCCTCCGCTGTCAAATCCGTTCCCATCCTTCCCTTCTTAAGAAAAGGATGAAAAGGAAAAGGGAATAAATTAGACTAAATAAAATAAAATAAAAGAGAGATATTTTGATACTCACATTTTTAATAGTATATTAAAAGCAGCAACATTCCACCGTAAAGTTAGTTGTGAATATTTTCAGTAAAAACTGAAAGTCAGTTTTATAAAATTATTTCGAAACTCAGCTTACTAGAAAGTTGCCGTGAAAAAGGTATTATAAATAGTGATGGTTAATTAATGCAGAGTAGAGGCAATCTTTATTTTTACGCCATGATGCGACTCAGAGTATCTTTTAACTAAGAAATACGGAATCCTCATTACTTAATAATTTTAATTAAACAACTTTTCAAAGAAGTGACTGAAAATTAACCCGAGTTAATTTCAATGAATTTCTCTGAAGATATAAATTTGAATAATTTTGAATGTTGTTAATAAATAAAATGTATTTCATTTACTGAATACAGGAACATAATTAACTTTTTCACTTATAGTTTCTTATTACTTAAGCTAAAATATATAACACTTAGAGTTAGCTTAAGTAATAAGCAACTATATGTGTTAAGTGTTTTCATTTATTTATTTGTTATTAAAAAGATATAAGTTGTTCAATCAAAACGTTACTTAAAAATTTTATACACTAGCTTTCGCCCGCAAATTCATCAACGTGGTACTAAAAACAATAAAAGTAAGTGGCCTATGTGTTCTTTCAGACTGTCCTCTACATCTATACTTAATTTCATTGAAATCCGTTCAGCCGTTTAGGCTACAAACTATTATAATATTAGTATGATATGAAGTATGAAGTATGATTCGTTTAGACAGGTTAGAAATTGTTCCTAATTGCCACAACAGATGTCGCTAAAATTTGGCTTACATATTAGAACACTGTCTGGAAGAACTCAAGGGCTACAATATTTTTAACAACATTAGTAACATTTTTTTATTCATGGAAATATTTTATTATTGAATAATATTACGCCCACAATATTTATATTTAACAAACGAAATTCATCTTTTAATAGTGGCTCCGGCGGAAACATGTTTGTATTAAAAATTAACGTAAAATTTCCAACAAATTCGTTTATATTAATTACACTCTTTTGATCGGAGATTTAATAGGATTCAATATTCATTACGTTTTGAACACGCCATGTGATGTTTTAAAATTCTATATTATTTAGCCGTCACATTAAGACGTCATATAATCTTTTTAATTATAAATATTATAAATGCGAAGGTATAAATAGATGGATGGATTTTTAGAGTTGTTAGAGTTAGTAGGCTCAAGGACTAAAATTATCTCGGTGAAATTTGGCATAGATGCAGAGGATAGTCTGGAATAATACAATGAGTAC